TATATATATATACCTATATATATATGTATATACATATATATGTATGTATGTATGTATGTATATATATATATATATAGGTATATATATATGTATAAATGTATATATATATACATATATACACACACACACGCATATATATATATATATTTATATTTATACAAACGAACATTGATCGGAATGCTTATCGATATTTTTCTTGTGATGCTAGTTTGAATGAGTATTGTTTCCATAAACCTTGTTCATCGTGTCCTTGTATATACCGCGATATGAATGGTTTACGTTAATATCCAAGTGACGTATCCTTCATATGTTTTGCTTAGCTCTGCATCTCACTTCATACAATCCTCTCACGTCCTATGGGTCTTGTGAATGCGTTTCCTATTGGAATGCTGTGGGACTTGCTAGTGGGTTTCCTATTGGATGTGTTTATCGCGGTAAGATTTTTAAGCCATAGATCGAATGTATTTCACCTTTTGTGTGTATATATCTAAGCTGCAAAATACATGTATCTCACATTTGTTGTTTTGATGCTTGAATCGTTGTTGCCTTGGTGTGTGGTGCTACCCAATAAATGCTAGCCACGCACTGAGTCGAGATGGTAATAGGTCAGTTGACCAATGCCTTGTTCCTTTGTATCCATAGTCTAACCTCACTCCCCCCCCCCCCCTCCTCTCTCCCTCCCCTCCCCCTTCGCGCGTCGCCATGTCAACCAGGAACGCCTGCAAAACCTCCGCAATATCGGCATCTCGGCGCACATCGACAGTGGAAAGACCACACTCACTGAGCGCATCCTCTATTACACCGGGCGTATCGACGCCATCCACGAAGTGCGGGGAAAAGATGGGGTTGGCGCCAAAATGGATTCCATGGACCTCGAGCGTGAGAAGGGTATCACCATTCAATCGGCGGCTACCTACACCAAGTGGCGGGATACGAACATCAATATCATCGACACACCTGGGCACGTGGACTTCACCGTGGAGGTGGAGCGTGCCCTGCGTGTGCTGGATGGGGCTGTTCTGGTGTTGTGTAGTGTGGGAGGGGTGCAGAGTCAGACCCTTACGGTAGATAGACAGATGAAACGGTATGACGTGCCTGCCATCTGCTTTGTGAACAAACTGGATCGCCCCGGAGGCAATGCACACAAGATCGTCGACCAGTTGAGGTGAGTGTGCGAGTGTGAGTGCATGCGACGGGGCTAGGGATACATACAGGCAAGTGTGCGTGTCAGGGGTTCGTTTGGAGCGGTAGAGTAGCGCGGGTGTATGTGTGTGCAGGTTGAGTCTCAGAACCCAGCGCGAGGCGATATGAGTATGTTTATATTTATATATGTATATGTATATATATATAATTGTTGCATTGTACTAATATTATTAACACACCCGAGAGCCTATACAATGTGCCCCGGACCTACGCACAGTAGCGCGTAGCCCATACCCCCTATGTGACGTATATCGTAGCGAAACTCGCAGCAAACCCCACACTTGCATATATCATACCGGCATATTTTGTGGATTGCATGTTGGGACGTGCTTAAGTATAGTGTTTAGCGCTAAATGTTCTCATATTCAAAGCTTGTATATCTATACCACCTCACGAAGCCTCTGAACAAACACCCGTGACTGTGCTGTGTCTGTAGAGCCAGGCTCTGAACATACACTCATGACTGTACTTACTGTGTATGTAGGGCCAAATTGCACCACAACGCCGCGCTGATCCAGATGCCCATTGGCATTGAGGAGAACCTGGAGGGCTGTGTGGACCTTATCCGCATGGAGTGCCTCAAGCACGAAGGAGAAAACGGTGAGATCATCGCCAGATCACCGGTCACTGCCGACCTCCTGGAGGAAGCGACGCGCCTCAGGCATGAGCTGATTGAGTGTGTGTCAAATGTCGACGATGAGTTGGCCGAGATGTTCCTGGATGAGATCGACCCCACGCCCGAGCAGTTGTCTGCTGCTATCCGTAGGGCCACGGTAGTGCGCAAGTTCACGCCAGTGTGTGTAGGGACGGCGCTGAAGAACAAGGGTATGTGTACTGAATGTGTTCTGCATGTGGAGTGTGGACTATTGCTGTGGTGTGTCTTGGTGTAGTACGGTGTCATGTCGCACCAATACTTAATACATACAGACATACGCGCCTATATATATATATATAATATATATATATATCATGCATACTGCTTTTATTCATTAAATATTATTGGTCACGCGGGAGTTTGAATGTCCTGTCCTGTCATATTTGGTTGCGCGGGTTGTTACTAAGTTCTCGGATGCCAACCACAACTCGCACATCGCTGAAGCCACGTCCCTCTCTGTGACACTTTACGCTCTCCTTAGGTGTGCAGCCGCTGCTGGATGTTGTGCTTGAGTTCCTTCCTGCGCCCCACGAAGTAGAGAACTACGCCTTGGATATCACCAATAACGAGGAGAAGGTGTTCATCGACAGCACAGCCGAGAAGAAGCCGTTGGTTATGCTGGCCTTCAAGCTGGAGGAGGGCAAGTACGGGCAACTGACATACATGCGCGTGTACCAGGGAAAGCTGCGCCGAGGGGATTTGATCCAGAACATCACTGCGTCCGGCAAGAAGATCAAGGTATGTGTACGGGGTGAGATTTGTAGGTAAATGGCCCGGGGGTTAGGGTTTATAGGATTAGGGTTCTAGCAGTGCATGTGCAGGGTTTGGTCAGGCCGCATTGGTTTTTGAGGGGAATCGCTGAGTCGAATACGACCTAAGAGAGTTAACGCCGATACCAAATGCATGTACGACTCTGTTCAACCTATTCTATATATAGCCACCTATTCCGCATATTGCGCCATCTCGCGGTCTCATGCACTCCGATGAGAGAGAGAAAGATAGGCGCTAAAGGGGTATCACACATCATCAACAGACCCTTGCACAGGTCAATTCAATGTATACTCTATTTGTATCGAAGAAGCCCTAGTCACATCCCACACTTTATGCGTTTATATCCATCGCGCTCTTTTCATGTACAACACGTTCTATTTTTACCCATTGCGTTCTATTTTTATCCATCACGTTCTATTCTATCCTTCCCGCTCTAATTTTACCCATCCCGTCCTATTTTTATCCCACCCGCGTCGCAGGTCTCCCGCCTGGTCCGCATGCACTCAGACGAGATGGAGGAAGTCACGGAAATCGGCTCAGGAGAGATCTGTGCGCTGTTCGGAATGGACTGCGCCTCAGGCGATACATTTACCGACGGCTCTGTGAAGTATGCGATGAGTTCCATGCACGTGCCCAGCCCTGTAATCTCACTGGCTGTGGAGCCGACTAACAAGAACGACCAGGATAAGCTCGGCAAGGTTAGTCTGTGAAGATATGTATTGTTCTAAGAGGACACGTGGAAGGCTTGGTCGGTTAGTGGATTATGTGCGCATTTGGGGTTGTATGTGTATATGTAAGTGTGTGTGTGTTGTTTAGTAGGGATAACGTTTTAATGATGGCAAATAAAAATGTTTGGCAATGTACCTGAAAATACGATCGGTTTTTCGCTTTCTTATATGTATTTATCTATACATTGATCTGGAAACTCTGGTTTGAACATTGGATAAACCACTATCAAAACAAGCACTTATTCAGCTCACATTTATTACATACCTTACCGCGTCTCTTTCAGGCCCTGTCACGTTTTGTTAAGGAGGATCCCACATTCCGGGTGCACGTCGATGACGAATCCGGGCAAACCATCGTATCGGTAAGGAGTTATGTGTACAAGGGTATCTCTACAAATTGATTGCTATATGTATAGTATATGTATATGTAAGTATGTGTTATTATATATTAAATAGGACATCTCTACGTATTGGTTACTATATGTATAGTATATGTATATGTAAGTATATGTTATGTTTCGTTTACTGAGACATCTCTACGTATTGATTGCTGTATATATAGTATATGTATATGTATGTATATACTATGTTTTGTTTGCTGAGACATACTATGTTGTATTTACTGAGACATCTCAACGGATTGATTGCATATGTATAGTATATGTAGATGTAAGTAAATACTATGTTGTGTTTATTAAGACATCTCTACGTATATGATTGCTATATGTATAGTATCTGTATATGTTGTATATACTATGATGAAAAAAACCCAGGACTTCTCTACATATTAGTTGTCATGGCTATACTTTATGCCAGCGATACCAATGCACGAATTCTGGTTCTCTTGTGTGTACATGCGTGTGGTAGTCACAAAGGATCGACTTCCGGTTGAGAATATGTTGGGTGGATTCGTGTATTTGTGATGAATGTAGCTTAGCATACCTCTAAGGGAACAGGCAGGCGTATTGATCACTGTCTAGTTTCCCAGATTTTCTTGCTAACAGCGTTGTTGGGATTTATATCATAGATATATCGTCATCAGTATTACGCTCACATACAACACGTAAATGTAAGGTTCTTCCTGGCCGAAATTTTGCAAGATGCAACATCAACACACACATATATATATATAAATATATATATACCCAAATTCACTCACACACACACATATATATATATATTTATATATTTATATATTTATATATTTATATATATATATATATTTACATATATATATATGTATATATATATATATGTATATATACATCTATATATATATATATATATACTAACCAACACACACACACTACACGAGGGAGTGGGTGAGTCTTCTATCGTAGGTAAGTACTA